AATGTGTAAGAACTTCATTTGAATGTGTAAGAACTTCATTTGAATGTGTAAGAACTTTATTTGAATGTGTAAGTTCAATTGTTATTCTATTCACATAATAGGTGCCAACGAAATTAACATACGTAAGGCACAAAACGAAAATTTACATGTGTAAAGCTATTGATTTGTCTTGTGCGGAAAAGCTCTATTATATTCAATTTAATGTTTGGTGTACTATCTGGAAAGTTTATTATATTTGCAACTTTCGAGTTGTGATGGAAAATCCCGTGAAGTTATTGTGTTTTATTTGTCATGCTTGATGTATCGGGTTTTTTTTGTTTTTGTTTTTGTTTTTAATGTGTGTTGGTTACGTCCATGCCATAAAAGCACTGTTAATTGTTGATTATTTAGAATGCTGCTCAATCTTGGCATAGTATTCGTATCGTTCAGCCCCTCTTTATTTTCCTTGTTGGATTTATTATATTTTGCATTTTTTAAGCCCCTCTTTATTTTTCTTTGTTCCATTTCTCTTCTTTTTTCTCTCGGGAACCCGTGCGTGTTGCTTCCACCGTCAAGCTGTTTATTATTCTACCTATTGTTTCCTCGTTGCGAATATTTGTTTAGTGTTCGTCCCTTTCAGCGGGACCGGGTTTCTCTTGTTTTGCATTTCAGCGCACGACTCTTTGTTTCATCTTACATCAGTTTCTCCCTAGATGACAGTCTTGAAGGGATTCTAAATATCCCTCTCGGAATACCGGGGCAAAAGCTGTCATCTCCCGAGTGGCTCCTTCATTGTTCGTGTAAAACTTTATAATAATATCTCCGGTCCACTAGAAGGTTGTGGAAAATTGGTGTTCATTGCAATGCGATTCGTTTGGGTAAAGATTCGTGGGTCTTATCCGATGACCTGGAGCGTTCATCGGAGGAGCCCTGGGGGGTGACAGCTACTCGACCTCCACTATCAACTGTCAGCGGTGTCTCTTTCATACTATGGGTACTGTTGGTGCCAAGAGATTTAGTCGCATTTCTAAAGTTTTTCAGGACATGTTGCCGCTGTGCAATAAACTTACAGTCAAACAAGCTCACACGTTGACCCCTAGAGTCGATTAATGATTTGAATTTTCGAATTTTGATTCATTATTCAGTTGAAATTTACAACGTCAAAAACAAAGATATGAAAATTCCAATCAACTTTAAATTCAATATACGACATTTTGATTGGTTAATCAGTGCTAACGCAGCGGGAAGACCAAGAAAACATGGCGGTCACAAATAGTCTTGGCCGTGTTTATGTGCCGGGAAGGCCTTTACCTGATATTATTCGACAGGAAATTGTTCATCTCAGCAATAGCGGATTGTCCAATAAAGCAATTTCGCGACAACTGAAAATTTCTAGTTGGGGAGTCTAGAAAATACTTCAACATTATCGACGACATGGAACTGTGTCTCCATTTCGCTCAAGGCGGGAGCGTTCCCTACAAAATTTATCCTCCAAGTAATTGAGGCATGGAAATTACAAAACCTAGTGTGTATGCTTATGAAATAAGAGAGCGACTTCTGCTCGAAGGTATCTGTAATTTAGATGGTTTACCTTCTTCATCACCAGTCGAATAATGAACTGAATTTTCATTTGAATATTGCATTATTCCGGTTCGTACGTATAAAAGGAATAATTGACTAATGATTTCATTAATCGAATCTAGGGGTCAACGCTTGAGCTTGTTTGACTGTAAACCAGTGACAATTATGTTGGAGTCTGAGTGATTAGCGAAGTTAAAGTGACCGTAAACTGGTTTTTAAGATTTTTTTCAAACCAATAGGAATGACTTTTCCACGCTAGTGTCCTACTGTTATCTTGTTTTATGAGTATGGAGTATTGGTTTGGCTTACAAATATTGAAATTAATCCGGAAACCAATAGGAATCGAATTACTCAGTTTACGCGTTAGTGTTCTAGTTATTATCCACTCGTTCTTTATCCTGTTCGTTTTTTTTTTGAGTATGGGGTTTTGAGTATGGGCTGTGTTGGGATTTTTTATGGTCAACTTGAATATAGGAGCAACAGGTGTTCTGAGCGCGACTGCAGACTCCCATTCTCATCTATATAGCACAGGGGAGATCGCTGAGAATAAGATAATATTGTCAGCGGTCTCACCAAGCGTATACAGTCAATTCAAAAAACGTTGTCGTCGACCGGCTCAAGCCTACGCGACTGGACCGAAAGAAATATGGGTAAAATTCACTGAAGCGGTTAAATATTCGTTCTGAATTAATTGTTCCCGCTAGTAGTAAAGATAATAATGGCGAGAAACAATCCGTCAAATGCATGTCTTTGGGTTTAGGGAAAGAAAAATAAAGTAGTTATGATTCAGTTCACTATTTCGAAAATATGAAGGCATTAAAAAAAGGTCTCCTTCAACTCTTCCCGCTCGCCTACGAAGGTTCGTGCTGTAAACCAGGCATAACTAGTCAGATAAAATTATGGAGTGAACTCGGCTTCAATTACTACCCAGAGTTCCTTTCGGTCCAGTCGCGTAGGCTTGAGTTGGTCGACGACAACGTTTTCGAATTGACTGTATTGTTAGCAGATATGACAGGGGCGTGACCAGGATTTTCCGAAGGGGGGTCCCAAAATCATAAATCCGCCATTTTGTTTGGGTTGCCGGAGCGCCGAACCAAAACAATGATAATAAAATAACATAGAGCGGCATTGCTTTTAATTTCGCACTTCTTAGGCCCCGTCCACACTATGCCGGATAATTTGAATCCGAATTTTTATCTATTCGTTTAGGCCTACCGTCCACACTAGTCCGGGCGAATCCGGAACAATTCTTCTCCGAAAACGAGTTTTTTCGAACACGGTCTCCAGAGTGAAAACGCCGGCTAGCCGTATTAGTGTGGACGAAGAACATTTCGTATCCGAAATTTTTCGAATACGATGACGTCATGACTGTCATGGGAATATGGCGGGAAGGCTAAAAATTCACCGCGGGCTCAATTTCAGCTTCGATGCACATGTTCAGATGTGCAATGAAGCGTTTTTGCCGCCTCTGATCAAGGGCACTAGGACACCGAATGTGGTTTGATTTCTATAGGTTTTTTTTTTCCTTTCGATTATTTGAATTAAATCAACGTTGATACTTGTTTACTTATCTTGTGTCCGTGTTCCTTCGTTCGCTGTTGTAATGCAGACGTTTTCATTCCAAAGGTCAAACGGTTTGAATAGCCTATGATCGTTACTTCTTTTACGGCCGTGTCCTAGTGCCCTTGCTCTGATCGGACTAGTGTGGACGCGAAACATTTTATCCGTTTTCATGTGTGGACGGAAAACACATTATTCTCGAGGTAAATTGATGAATAAAGATAATGGAAAAGGTTAGAACATAAGGGCATAGGAAGTATGGTTGCCTTGACAGGCGCCGGGAGTTGATCAATTGATTTGGCTTCTCAAACTCATTTTAAATCATAATAGAAAGAAATTCTAGTTTTTACTTAATTTATATTATTCATTTATTACATTTCATGTATGACTGGTTATAAAATGTGCGCATAAAAGTTTCAAAACCTGATCTTTGCTCAATGAATTTAGTCGCAGCATAGTCGTAAGGAAGGTGCGAGGGTGACGAGTATAGTGAGTGTGCGGTAATGCGTTCGATGCCTTCAGACATTGATAGGTTTCATTTTAGATTTTTTAGATTTCATTTATCTTTTCCAAGTCTGTTATTTTAATAAGGCATAGCTGGACTGGACTCTATCAGTCGTGTCTTGATCACTGTTTGATCCTTTTAAAGGCCGGTTTAGACGGTACGATTTTCGCTTACAACTATCGTATACAACACGCTCGCGTCTGTCGTAGGCGAGTTGTACACGATAGTATACAAGTATCCAAAACAAAAAGATTGAAATCTATATAACTTTAGTTATGGTTGCCATCTTGAGGCATGTTAGTGCCTACCAAGATGGCCGACATAACTGAGATGTGAAAAAGAATTTTGGTTTTGAGTAACTAGTACCTAAGATAAAAGATAATATTAAAACATGCAAGTCTTCGCTGCTTTTATGCTCCGATCTCAAAATATGAGAAAATGATTAGATATGCAAATGAAAGTCATAAATTATTTGCACGTAATCAAATTTTAACTCAAAAATGTTTTGAATTTTTCAATTTGCTATGCCTTTTAAGACTGATGAGACTTTCGACACATTTTATTAAATTATATGTAAAAACTTTTTATTCACGTGACCATGTCAAAGCCTCATTCACCTGACAAAATTCGTCCTTCTGATTTCGTGTTTAATGCTCATACATTATTAATGAGTTTGAGAAAATCATTTTAAAATCGGTCTGCTAAACTTTATTCCCCTCTCAATAACTCGTTTTGACTCTTCGCAAATACTACTACTAAGACAGGTTACACAAATATAAAAATATAGAAATTTATGCTATTTTCTAAAAATATTACTGGTAAGTATTTTTTTATATATAGGCGTTTCTGGTAGATACATTAAAACTTTAAAAAAACTGCTATTGTTTTCTTTATAACAAAAAATATATTAAATTGTAAACTATAAATAAAAAATTTAGGAGTCGGCACAACAAAAGACAGTTTGAATATATGCGGGTTTAAGGAAAATTTTGTCCCTGGTAGAAGGGAAACCCTCTTCCTCGAGCTACCCTGGGCAAGCTAACTTTTCCCTATTTTCTTTGTAAATTCATCTCAACCGTTTACATGAGGTATTTTACTTTGCCTCGGCTAGAAGAGTCACCCTACTGGTAGGCTTACCCTCTTTGCGAAAGAGGGTGAACCTGGTACCCGGGACAACTTTTCCCCTCACCTAACCGAGACAACTTTTTTGTTTGAGTATGCATATCACCATTGAAACCGATAGTTGTCCCAGGTTCATAGGGACAACTTCTTTCCATGTAAAGGCTTGAGTAGATAGGTGTCCCTGCTACCAGGGACAAGTTTTCTCCATGTCAACGGCCTCTAAGCCCTTCAATTTGGGAAATATTGAATATAGTTGCTTAATTCTTCTTCATTGGTGAGAGAAAATTGCCAACTAATGCAAACAAATTTGGACTGGCCTTATCATTGAAACTAGTAATAGAGGTAAACTTTACTGGAAAATATACAAACTGTTTTTACACAAAGTCTTTTGGTATATTAAAAATATTTTCGAATAAAAATGATGAAAGGATAATACCTTTTCCCTCATTCTTCTGAATGTTTAGTAAGACTACCTCCCACAAAAAAAACAACAATCAAACCTGAGCCCAACAGGCTGGCTCCTTCTTTCCTTCAAAGACCACTCACACCTGATTTTCTTGCACAAGGTATTTTTGTAATAGTTCTGTACAATCATCCCTTTGCATTGCCAGTAAATGGTTGTAAAGAACATACACAGTTGTGTTTCCTTCTGTGCCCCATTCTTGCAAAAGGCTTTGACAGGCTTCATTTCGGTTTAATTTAAAATTTTGTATTTTGCATTGGCTGTAGCCGAGTTTCCCTGCTAGTACCTTCCAGTTTCGTGATCCTTCTGGATTTAATAGACAGCACAGATTCTCAAACGTTTCAGGATTTAGATCTCTCAACATCAAGCCAGTTTCTAAACAGTTCCAAAGTTTGAAATATATTAGATTAATTATTAGAAGAAGTCAATGTCCAATAAATTAAGCAATATCAAATATTTCATAGAACTATGTGTCATAGAAATAAGCTTTCAGAAAGGGAAATTTAACAATTACTCTGAATGGACTACAAGTCAAATGGGCTATTGACTCATAGGCCATGATGGCAAGAAGACTATAATGTTTTAGTCAAATTCACCTAGTCGGTCAAATACATTTATATAGATAGAAAAAAGTAGACTATAGCCTAATAATATCTCATCCAATCAAAATGCAGCATTGATGATAGACGATTTAAGTTGGATGTGACTGATTGTAGTTTGCCCTCCTTCCCAGTGACAATATTGCCTAATCATATACATACCTCTAACAGGAGGCAATGGTCTTTTCTTGACAAAATCATCAATCTCAGAATCATCAGTGAATGATGATTCAGGGTATTTATTTCTTCTCTGTATATTTGAAGAACAATGCCAACAAAGGCAGACCAGTAAAAGGGCAACAACAAACAATGCCACCATAATTGACAATATTACCACTGTCGTGTTATTTTTTTCTACCTTTTCTGGATCATCAGAGGGTTCTGGTTGTGTAAGGGTAAAAGCTAGAAAAATGAAATGTACCAAAAAATAATAATAGTGAAATAATGCGTGTATCCAAAATAATCAAAATTTGTTAGCTATAAATTATATCCTATCAGTAGCTATCAATATTATCTTGATTGCAAATAATTGACTTTGTTAACATGACCTTGAGTGAACTCAACATGATGAATCTATTATTTGTACTAGGTTTTTCTGCAGCTTACGTATTAATCATTTCAAGTTCACACCATATCAGAGGTTAACTGAAGGCTCTCAGCCAAATAAAAACAGTTAGTACAACGTATAACATACAAGTCTTCAAAAACGAATATAAGATAAGAAGTATAAATTTTTAAATCAAGCTAACTTATCAGTAAAAGTCAGAAGACAAATAATTATTATCTAAACGTTTTGACTGTACGATATGATTGTATGAAGTAACTCACTTTTTTTTCAAATGGACATTTGACTTATTGGAAATCTACTTTCGATATTCATTTCATTATTATCTTAAGAGTTGCATCTTTCCTTGATTCTTTTGAAATAGATAAATTTGAAAAAGTAGAGCTATGTTCCTAAGCCCACCTGCTCAATCCTTAAGATATCCTCCCACATCCAACAGTGAAATTCAAATTTCTAATATAATATGGTTTTGGGCCTTAAATCTTTGAGCTTTTGAAAGCTAATTCTGAGAAAGTAGTTCTTTGTGTAACATACAGCAAGGCAAGTCAAATGGTAGTTTCACAATACACCTTATAAACATTTAAGATATAACATGCACAGTGATTGGCTGACTATCATGCTTCTAACAGAGGAAATACTGAAATGCTGGAGCAAATTCAAATTATTTCATAAAAGCAATATAAATAATCTGCTTATGACCCTGTATAGGTTACTATCAATAGATGGCACTTTCTGTAATATTTGTTTATTGACTGGGGGGTGGAA